TACACAAAGTCAGACATACTCAGTCAGAAATACTCACAGCAAGATAACACACGGTGTAACTGTATCTGTCAATATGTGTCTTTGTTCATTAGAGTATTCGTGTGTGTATGAGTTTTATTATCTGTAACTTCATTATTTGTTTTTTCTGTCGAGCCAAAATGTTTAGATTTCTTTCCATTAAGTAATGAAACAAAATGCAGATACATATACATAGATAAATACACACCCATCCCTTTTGGAGATAACATTATCATCTTGTTGGAATGATGAAGAGGGAGGAACACTCCCGCACAGACTGACATATCTGGGACTCACTTTAGCAGCATAAAAACAGAAACATTTGTTGATGCTGCTCGAGGCAATCCTGGATTAGGTGATTAAGAGACGTGGGGCTGAAAATTACTGTGGGACTAATTTTGAACTTTGGATTTGTGATTACAGAGTCATGTTCCTAAAAGATCATAAGATCATGAGCCTGACATTCACTTTACATCTGAGGGCTGAAAGGAACACTCCAGACACCATAACAACTTAATCTAAATTAAGTTGCTATTGAGCAAGGAGGCCCTAGGCGCACGCTTACCTCACGGGGCAAAACCATTCTCAAACAGTTTAACACCAAAGTTGCATCTAGCGCCAATTTCAGCTCTCCCTAGGCAGCATTTGGTTTCTAAGATGTCACTTTCAAGAAGAGTGGAGTGCTGTCGGTTAGGGACACAGCTGATAAACTGAGAGCAGTCAGCTGATGTTCTCAGACAATCAGTGACTCCCCACTCACAAAACTGGCAGAGAAAAGGTACGTTTCTCTCCAAGCCAGTTTTGTAAACAGGGAGTCACAGATTAGCTGAGAGCATCAGCTGACTGCTCTCAGCCAATCAGCGGCACCCTTGCCCGCGGCACTCTGTGTTTTCTGAATGTGAAATTTCAGAAACCGGATGCCGTCTAGGGGGAGTTGAGATCGGAGCTGGAAGCAACTTTGGGGTTAAACCGTTAAAGAACAGTTTAACTGAAAGTAAGAGTGCGTCAGGGACCTCCTGTCATCTTAACAACTTCATTTAGGTGAAGTTGTTATGGTGCCTTCAGGTGACTAAACTGTCTCTTTAACATTGCCCAGTTAATAAACTGTTAAATTAGCTATGGGTAAACTGAAAGCAGCTGCAAAATATAAGTATTAAGTGGAATGCAGAGGTTTATGCGATAAAGGTCATTTTTCTGGTTTGGGAGGGAGGGATCCACCAGTAACTTTAAAGGTCAGTAACTTTTTTAGCATTTGATTTATTGCATTTTCTGTATAATGCATTAAAAATATTTTATACTTTTTACACCACTTTGACTAATTTCCTCAAATTGCCACTCTAAAACTTTAGAAATAGCATGAATAAGTGAAAACAATGTCTGAATTCCAAACTTAATTTGTGTAGAAACCAGACACAATATGTTAAATACGTTCAGTTTCCAAAGGTCTTTTCGCCTTGTTCTTGAATTAAAGTCTTATTTTAATATATTCTGCATGAAATGAAAGTATCTGTAAAATACTCATGACATTTTCACCGAAACGATTTAATATTACAATTAATGTTAAGGAAATTCACGTAAATAACATGAAATAATCATTACTGTTGGAGAAAGTCTTGAGTATATGGCTTTTGTTAATAAGCTTCCTTAAAATAGCATACACTTTGCCACTGGCACTAAGCCGTGAAGTCTTCATCCTCCATCAAGTTGTATCCTTTATATTCATTTCATCCCTGCATGACATGCCTTTGAAGTGTGATCAAAATGTATTTAAATTAGCATTACCATTTTATCTTATGAAAAGCACTATGCCTATCTAAATTAGCAATGGTTTGCAATGGAGCAGATCCTTTCCCAAAAAAAGCAGACACGATAAAACTCCCCAGTCTAGCTGTTCTTCTTTAAAAGAAACTTAATAGTAAAATGCATGTGATCTTATATGAAAGTGCATACAGTACCATTTAGAAATGTATGCAAAAGTTTACATATATTGATAGATAAAAATTTAAATTGCTTGTGTTGCTAGCGCCGGGATGGAGGAATGAAATATCTCCTGATTTCCTTGCCCTTTATTCCCCTTGCTGTTCATGTTTATTGGCAACGTGGAGGGAAGGAAAGGGGTTACAGAGTCTGTTGGTGAGTAGACATGCATAGATTTGCACCAGGAAGCTTAGAAGCCATTTTGTTCCTCCTAACTACATCTTAAACAGGCAGCAGGTGCTGGGATATAACCTCACATCCTGTAGGCCCTGCTGGCAAAAATCCTTGCACCGGCCCTGCGCTGCCTGTCATGTGAAGGTGACGGAACTATGTATGCAATAATGGAATTAAAGTTTCTTGGAAGTTGGTAGTACATTACTCACCGGCTACCAGACACCTGTTGCTAATGCTGAGGAGGCAAAACAGGACCAAAGGAGAGTGCATTGATGGTATAGGAGTGCCAAGGACCCAGTGGTTTAAACTTTGCCTTGTACTCAGAGACAGAAACCAAAACTAATGAGATAATTCCCAATCCTGGACCTCCAATCCAGAAAATCTATGCAGTTAAGAAAATTAGTCCAGCTTTCCTCCAGTACCATGTGAACGATCATTAGTGTGAAAAATGACATTCTTTTTCCCTGTTTATTTGTCATAAAAAAATAATTGCTGACATCGTTGGAGGAGTACTGGACTTTGTACGCAGACATGTCAGTGTTCATTTTTTTGACTCTCCCTAGAAGAGCTAACAGATACCTTGCAGGAAATGCACTGTAAAATAGTGAGTATTATGTTGATATAGATACCCAAGTGCAGGGAATGAGGTATCTGAAGATATACCAGACTGATGTTAATAAGCCTGTGTCTATTGACCTTTAATTTGCCTGCACAGCCTGAGATCTATCTACCTAAAACTCACAGCTTGCTAAATATAATGCAAAGGGACTGGGTGGAGCACTGGTCTGCTGAGAATCAGCATTTAATCAACCAGGAATATAACAGTGTGATTTTATTACTTTCACGCTGTTCTACAGTACTATGCAGCCTCATGCATGCTCAATTCACATACAGTGTCTAGATTTTTAAACCTTTGGGTAGCACAACAAGTTGACTATGAGGTGGAACCTAATCCATCAGCGACAAGTGCAAATGTTTCAGGACTCATTGCCTTCCTTATGGAGGTGTCATAATGCTGTAAGCTCTCGTTTTCACATCTCTTGGGAATGTCCATAAAACTAAAGGTTTTGTAAACATACTCAGGAATTAATAAAACTAACAACTACTGCTTGCCCATTAATCCTGAGTGTTTTCTATTGCGTTTTTTTCCTTGAGGTGGTGGGACCGGCTTCCAAACCAGCTCTTCATGTTCTGTTAGCTGTCAAAATCAGTGTTGCAGTTTAGTGGAAATCGCCATTAGCTTCACATTTAGGTGGTTCTCACCAAATTAAATTCCACTAAGGTTCAGGAAGAAATGGCAAATTACATGTTAGGTATAAGGAGTAAAAATACCAACATCTAATTCAAGTGGGACTAGCGACAGGAGACCTTCTTGGTGCTAATACCAAAACTGATAATGATAACTTCTGGGTCGTAGATGGAGTTGCCCAGTGCTATTACTGTACTGTCAGCCGCTCGCCACCTTCATCTTTTACTTTAGCCGCCATAATAGTTGCCATTGGTCTGTTAAATTGGTTTATTATATTTTTATTCTTACTTTTAATTAGTCTTATTGGGGATTAGGTGACTATCTCTTTTATAACACTGTAACAGTTAAAGTCTAAATATATTCATTTTATTTCCTTATAAATTTAAATCCACACTTGAAGCAATCCATTGGCGGCTGTCCAATGACTTATCAGCAATGAGGATGTTCTATAATTGGAAAGGTTTTCCTTTACAGATTGATAATGCATTTGGGAAAAATAAAGCGCATTCATATGGTTTTTTGAAACTGGAGCTGTAGAGATGATCTGTTCTCAAAATTGATGTAGATGCACTAAAATGATGCCTTGTTAATCTTACAATAATATAATAATATTTACACAGTCAAGGTCTACAGAAATATTTCCCTCGACAGATATGAGTCCATCAGATGTTCTGTGATTATCTATTGTGTCACAAACAGGAAAAGAGATGGGCACATTTGCTTTCCACTTTCTGTTTCTGTTGATCACGTTTTTTTTCTGATAATGAAGGCAGATTGTTCATTTATGCATCTAATGCTCTTAATATGTTTATCTTGTTCTGTGCGGAATGACATTCTAAGGGATTATTAAAGGGTACACAAATACTTTTCCACATTGACAAGCAGAGAAAATACAAAGATTGGCCACATAAAAACTTACATTTTATGAATCTAGCATCTGTGGTCCACGTCTTCTGCTTCCCAAAATTCTAAAAGGCAACAAGAGTTAGAATAGGATACAAATGGGTCAGATCAGGATACAAATGCATTTATTCTGATGATTCACAAATTATAAGGTTTACATATGAAAAGATGTTGTTTTTTTATTCAAGTGCTAGCCAACGCAAAAAAGGTATGTATATGATAGGCACAAAATATAGATATGTACCTACAGGATTACATACACAAGGGGAGTACAGAAAAAATAAAACCTGTGCAGCGTGAAGCTTGGTGCATTGTAGAATTAACCCCTCATAGCTTTGCCAGGGTAATGGGTGGCCAAATTGCACTATGAAACTGGGGTCATGTTTATCTTTTATGTGTGCAATGGTCCCCAATCATCTAACACAGGGATAGTAACCTTTGGCACTCCAAATGTTGTGGACTACATCCCCCATAATGCTCTTACTCCCATAATGCTGGCAAAGCATCATTGGAGGTGTAGTCCAAAACATCTGGAGTGTCAAAGGTTGCCTATGCCTGCTCTAACATATCGTTAGCAATCATTACAGCTGGGGTAAGGAGGCTGTTATGTTTGTATAAAGTATCAAATTCCATTAAAAAATACCATTCTTTATAATTCAATGGAATGTTTTGTCACTTATTACACATATTATCCCATCACATGTACTGTCAGTTTTATGCATTCTGCTTAAATTATATTTCTAGAATATCAATACCATGTTAAAAATGGACCCCAATAGATGGCCAGGAGTTATTTCAGTTGATGTTCTTTATATTCTTAAAATGAAAATCTAGACTTGTATCTATCATGCAGAGAGGAGCTGTTCAATACCTGTGCAACAAAAAAAATGGAAATCCTTCAACCTAAATGCAGGTCTTGTGTGAGAGACCTAAGTTTGAAACATCCCGCTCTTTTGTTAAAGTACAATAAAGAGATGAATTTTACTACACAGAGATTGTATCGTTTGCCTTTCTTTGGACTGTTAGATAATGTCAGTCATGCAAAATTGGTATTAAACTGCCCTCTACTTTGTTACTTACAGAGATGGGGTTGGGATGAGCATAGCTTATTACAGGATCATGGAAGCCGAGCTTAAAAATACTTTAGAAACAAATCAACTTTAAAGTAGGATTGGACAAAGAGTACAAATCACTATACTGTATTGAGTCAGAAATTAAACATATCATTGATGTGAGCGCAGGGTTACATCTTAAAACATGCCTTTATTACCTCCAAAGCGTCCCTTGTTAGAAGCACTGGCGGATCCGGGGGTGAGGGGGCGGCAAAAGGGGCAACTGCCCCACCCCAGGCTCTCCCCTGCTGGCTAATGCAGGGCTGGCACTGTCAAAGCACAAGCCCTGCAATGTGCCTTCAAGGACCTGAGGGGCAGGCGGGGGAGGGAGAGAGGACCCGGGAGCTCAGTCTGCAGCGTCCCCGGGTCCTTCTCTCGTGAGCACGGAGCATTGCCATGGTTACCACGGCAACACTCCGGATTTCGTGAGAGTGAACTCCTGGAGCTACAGGCTGGAGTTCACTATCATCACTGGGACAACCAGGGATTCCCCACGGACCACCAGGGTTCGAGCAATGTCCCCCCTCCTCCTTCAGTAAAGGTAGGAAGGGAGGGGGGAACATACATTTATTTTTATTAAATTTAAAAAATAAAATTATAAAAAAGCCCCCACACACCATACACACTCACACACTGCCCCCATACACACATTGCCACCCACACACATACACTGCCACCCATACACACACTGCCCCCACACACACCATACACATTCACACACTGCTCCCATACACACATTGCCCCACACACACATACACTGCCCCACAAACACATACACTGCCCCCCACACACACACACATTGCCCCACACTCACATACACAGCCCCCATAGACGCATTGCCCCACACACACACTGCCCCCATTAACACATTCACACACTACACCCCACACACACACTGCACCCCTCACACATTGCACCACTCACACACACCAATGCTCCTATGCCCTTCTACAGTTGTCAAACTGTTCTTAAACAGTTTGACTACTTACTCTGGGAGGGGGTCCCGGCACTCCTGGTACCATAACCACTACACAGAGCTGTAGTGGTTATTGTGCATGGATTATTTCTTTAAATAATCTACAAGTGCCCCTCCCGAGATCAGGCTCTGGATCCGCCACTGGTTAGAAGGAACAATCATAAACTGTAATCCATCAAACTGCACACCAATAATACTGACAGTGTGTATCAATAAATTCTGAAAGATTGATACATGTCCAATCACCTTATTTAACAAATGTCTTACAATCTTACATGCTGCTGTGCGGTAACCAAATTACATCTGCCTGGACTTCTGGTACCCAAGGTTGTTTGCTAGAACTGCACCCACACTTAGAGGATTTACACACCCCTTCTTCCTCGGGCCCTGAGTATTAAAAACATTTGTAGACTTGAGAAAGGATTGTCGAGGATGAGCAATAAAAGCTGCTAAAAATGTAAGCACCTAATAATTACATTGAGGAGATTGTACACAACTGCTTACCTGCAACTCAAATTACTCACCCAAACATTCAAATTGCACTGCATGCCAAGAGACCAGTAACATCTCGGGTGTGCTTAGAAAGTACTAGGCCAGAAGGGTGTGATACCACTGGGGAGCCGATTCTGACAGTGCTTAATACTATTTCAACATGAGAAAGAAGGAAATTGTCAACAGAATAAAAAAAAGGGTCGTGATTATTTATGCTAATATGAAATATAAAATGTGTTGATCTGTGAATAACAGCTACAATATAGAACATAACATCTGATTCAAGAAGGTTATACACCAATTGTAAAATGATATGCCTGCTTTGTAAAGCTTTGGAGAAAATTCTGGCACTATATAAATGCTAATAATAAAAAACTATTATAATAAATCTATATACTAACTAGTTTGTATGTGCTCAGGACTCTTATGTCTAATTAGCAACCTGCTTTTATACAATGCTTCTATATCTACTGATTGTTTTAAGTTATGCATACTGTGCCATGAGCAATAATATTTTGTCATTGTTGTGATGTCAAAATTTTTATAAATATGAAATATAAAAAAAAAAAAGAATGCATCTAAATCACGGACAATAAGATACAAATATCTATAATATACATATCACTATTTAATGTACACGGAGATAAGAGTATTTAGTTTAAACTAGGTAATTATCACTAGGGCTGTCATTGAAAAACCCATCAAGGCTGCCTTAATGGTTACATTTCAGTGCTTCTTCGCAGGGTTGTGCACTCTCGGGGGAACAGTATTTGGATTCTAAAGTAGTTGGATTTCCAGCAGTCCCATAAATTGACAGATGTTGTTTCCAGCTTTTCTATACACATATGAGTAGTTATGTTTTACACAGTCCTAAACCAAAAGCTGTCTAAACAAGGCAATTGACCTTCGAATTTGGACATTTCTGAAAGACAGGAAGTGAAATTGATTTAACAATCAAAATCTTTTTCCAGTGGATATTAATGGTATGTGCTTCCAGCCATACGTGGGATAATAGGAGACCTACTACTCAGAACAGAATCACTTAAGCAATCAAGACACAGAAGATACTGACTATTGATGGAAAATTTGTCATTTTTTTCGGCTACAGGGCTTTACAGCAAAAAGCAAAACAGAATTAGTTGATTCTGGCCTACTTACCTGTATTATATTTCACTACTATTATCAATTCAAGGTCTTCTCAGCTGTAAAAAAAGTGTTATTTGTGACTTTTTTATTTTTAAAGGACTGTTATAGCACTCTTAAAGAACTTTTACTTGTTGTTTATTTAATAGTTTATTACATTTAATGAAACTTAATAATATACATTATAAAACTATATATATTGATTTTTTTTCCACTTTTTATGAGCAGCCATGTTGGGTAAGACTACTTTTATCTGAACAACTGACATTTAACCTAACATGCCTACTGCTAAAGCTTCACGCAGAGTATATTGCATCAGGATTCAAAAAAGTTTCTAGCTTGTTATTTTTATTGTTGATTTTCCTACTTACTAGCCACAAGGGAGCTGAAATGGTCATTCCAGACCTCTAAACAACAAAGAAGCTTTATGTGTGAAGAGTGTCTCCTCTTTTTTTATTAAATTGATACTTTTATAAATTAACCTGGTTGCACCCCTTTGGCTTTCAAGCAGACTACAGGTAATGTTACTTCCTGGTTTCATTAGCTCGATGTAACTAACCTCAAGAGACAGCAATTGCCCAAAGTACCTGACTTACAAATACTTCCCATCGACCTGCATTGGGAAGTCTGTGATTGGACAGCCAGAGAAAGTGTGTGCGGGGTTAGAAGAGGAGGGGGTGCAAAGGCAACAGACAAGAGAACTGTATGTTTTGAAAGCTGTTTTTATATATAACTGCAATGAGAAAAACATAATTAACTGCACTCATGTTTTCATTTGGGGTATATCTACTAAACGTGGCGTGATTTTTTAAATTGTTATTTGGGCAGGTGAGTGTCCCTTTAAATTAATTATTTAACTGACTACTCACTCTGATTAATATCACATTTGCTCAGCTTGGTAGCCATCTGTAGATGACCTGGCTCGACAAACTTGAATCACCTCTTGTAATTACAAAACTGCTCATTTGCACCAGCCTCGTCGAACCTTGATCCCATGTGTTTTAGTGCATTTGTTTTAACTTAATTTTTCCTGCAAGTCCAGACAGACTAACTTAATCATTGCTGCCTTGGTATGTGCAGTCTAATAAAGACATAAAAGCTGCAGTAACACCTTAGCACCACATGGCATTGTATCTAACACTCATACACATTAACACGTGTGTAGGTCTGAGTAGATTAATACAACAGCATCGATTTCTCAGTATTTTGATAAGTCTGCCGTGATTGGGACCCTACTCTTTGAGTAACCAACATCCTATTTTCTGAAAGATTTATCTTAAAACTTTTTCTGTCAATTTTAAAACATGTTAAAATAAAACAGTTTTGCTTTCAAGCAACATATGTCCCGGTTGCACATGATTCACGAATATGTTTCACAATATTAAATTATCTGCATTTTTACTGCCTTTTCCAAACATGTTTGAGACAGCATCTACTGAATTCAACCACTGAAACAAAATGGTAAATAGCTTGTTGGGGTTTATTGTTCATG